GACAGTGCCTACCCACTCCTACCATGGCTGATGACTCCGTTTCTAACAGCAAATACACCGGCGCAGGCACGCTTCAACACTGCTCATTGCAGAGCAAGATGTGCAATTGAGCGTTTAAATGGAGTTCTTAAGAGGCGCTTTGCATGCCTTAACTACCTGAGAGCGGAACCACAGAAAGCATGCAACATAACCCTTGCCTGTATTGTCCTGCACAACATCGCTACTAAGCGCAATGTCCCTCTCTGTGCTGACAATGATGCACCTGAGCCCCTTGGAGACCCTAACCAACCTCCTGCATTCTGCCAGAACGAGCAAACAGGACGTGCAACAAGGGACGCAATAGTTAGACACTATTTCTGATTTGGAATTGTTTTGGACTTCAAAAAGCAGTGATTGCCATTCTTTGCATTTTAGGGGTTATTCTGTAATCATTGCATGCATCACTAATAAATATTCTAAGAACAAAATTAGTTCGATTGTGATGAATATATATATATCAATTAGTGACAGAATACAATTTATTGTTTTCTGTCAATTTTGACAGCTGTTTGGGGGATTATTGTATGAGGCCGAACTCTGTCTACTTTGCTGTAGGCCTATACTGAAAGGCTGAATACGTTAAAGCCTACCTAATCACTGTAGCCTTACGGATGAACAAATAAAATTAAAACCTTATGAATAAATAGGATATCTTGTATGATACTGCATGATCCAAATATAGTATTATTTGATACATTTTTAAGGTTTTCATAACATTTTGGGCATGGAATCCACGCTGAATCCACCCTTCTGATGGGATCAGTTTAATCCAGATTTTCTGGATCAAAGTGATCCAAATCCTACAAAAAAGTTCTGAAAAACCCTAAATGAAGGTTTGATCCGGATCAAAACCAAGATTGGATTACATGATCTAATCCGATTATGTAATCCGTTTCTTCTTTTGAAAAACCCATTTTCAAGATTTGATCCAATCCATTATCCAAAATCCTAGTGGATTACTTTTGAAAAACCGGGCCCTGGTTACTGAGAGAAAGCAGATTATGGCTGAAAATAGATAAGGTGTTACACCACAAATAGATAAAGTACATACACCACAGTATACATGAGCTCCTAGGTAATCTGGTAATCTTTAAACGTAAATTTAACTGAATATATGTGTAACTTTTGGTAGCTTGGGATTTGCAATGGATGATAAAGGTTTTTGGACTGGTGGAGACAACATTTTGCTCTCTCACTTTTTTTTCTCTCCCTCAGTCTTGTGTCAAAGGATTACTCATTGTTTTCATGTCTGGTTTAGGATTGCAGACAGCCCTCTGTGGCGGTACTCACTTTCTGTTTCTTACACCTCCTCTCCTGCTCATATTTAATATTTCAACTGACTGTTACTTCTGAATAGGCTGTTGTGTAGACAGTGTGCTCTGTTTTTGAGTGTAGCCCTGATGAGCCCTGACAATGCACTTTAAAGCACCTTCACTTTTTTTTCAAGGTTGTTTTGTGCTTCTGCACATATTTGTATATGAGTGTGTGTGTGTGTCAGCTGTGTAGACTATAGAAGACATGCTAATTTATGTCAGTCTATTTCTGTGTGTGTGGGAAGAGGGCAGATGCAGTGTTTTTCTTGAGCAAGAGAAGCCATTCTGGCACCAAGGCAAAACACAGTGTATATAAAATCCTTATATAGTGTAACAAAATACAGTCCATGGCAGTGTTTTAAACTTCATACAAATATGTGGTGTGCATCTTTTTAAAGTCATTACATTTTCCTCTCAGTGCATTTTTTTCTCACTCTGACCACCTCTTTTCATCCACTCGCTGTATGATTTTCTGTGATTTCAAATTTGATGATATGTCCTGCATTGCCCTTTGCTTGCCTAGAGTGGAATACAATAGAAATGCCATTTTAATAGAACAAATTTCCACTCCCACCATAAATCTGATTCATACTGCTTTTTGTTACTGTCACTGTAGTTTTCAGGTTGTGCAGATTATTATCAACATTAAAGGCACATTCTTCATTAGTTTAACCCACAAAAGTGGTATGATATGCAGCGTTTTTACAGTTGGAACTTAACAAGCAGTACACCTTGTATTTCTCTTAACCTTCACTAAGCACAGCCTTCAGGCTGCTGTGTTTTTCCACTGTATTTTCTCTCTGCTGGTCTCTGTTTAGAGGAGGGAGGGGCTGCTCCGCTCTCACACATGCAGTCAGCTGTGTGTTTACACACAGTGCTTGTAATGTTAATTCTTGTAGTGTGAAGACACAGACATTTAACCAATCACTAGCAACTGCTCTGCACACATGCACCCCTTCCTCCATCACATTCCTGGTACTTGATTTTAGTACTACCTCCTGAGCGGTGCCAAAATTTAGCTCCCAGAATGCACCTACAAAGCAGGCATGCCATAGTAGAAACAAACGCATAACCCGTGAAGAGCATTACTTGGCTTGACGTTTTGGTAGTTTCCTATAATGGAAAAACCCCTGTAGTTAATTTGCCAAGACTGTTATTTTATTTATAGTATGCATGCATGTCCATCATTTCTGATAGGACTGATGGCCAGGACTATGATTTGGAAATATAAAATCCAAGTTGTAATTTCCCTTTAACCAAGTTGGTTTTATATCTAGACCATGATCTTTCCTAAACCATACCATATGTATCAATGTTAGAGGACACTGACAAACAATGGTGTCCTGCACAAGATCAAATGCATTTTGTCTTTAATGGCAGAGAGAAATAAATCTTTTGTTATTTACTTTGGAAGACTGATTGTACAAAAAGTTCTATTTCTGATGCAGCCTCTCGTAGCCATTAGGGGAAATGCAGCCTGAGACAGTTTCACAATTATCTGATGGATTCCAATTCAGTTAAAGTGACTTGACTATACACTTAAACACACACATGCTACAAATTTGCAGTCAGTGGTGGATGAAGTACTCAGATTCGATACTCAAAAGTAGCAATAGCACAGCTTAAAACTGCTGTTACAAGTAAAAATTGTGCATTCACACTTTACTTGAGTAAAATACAAAAATATTAGCATCAAAATATACTTAAAGTACCAAAATTAAAGGCAGTTAGTTGGCAGAAAAGCACATTTCACATTGTATATATTATTTGATTAGAATTAGTGATGCATTATTGTGCAAATCATATTTAAATATGTATAAATATTGACATACTGCAGCCACTAGTGTGCCCTGTAGGCAAGTGGTTACGGCGCAGTGCACCTCGTACCCCAGGCTACACGCTGCTTGCACGACATTGGCAGTTCCACTCTGACCACCGACATTTAGAATAGAATAAATTATATGGACCAGTATGTTTTTACACACACAAGAAATTTGTTTTCGGTACAGAACCGATGGCAGCCATCTGTGGCACCAACTCAACCGATAGCTTTAACCATCGGGGCAGGCAACGGGGGGTTCAGTGTCTTACCCAAGGACACTTCGACACTGGACTGCCGAACCTCTAACCTTCTGGTTGGGAGACGACTGCTCTACCCACCGCACCACAGTCGCCGGTGTCTTCCTTTGTCTTTCCTGTCTGCTTCCCTGTGACATAGACCTAATAAAATAAAGTCTAAAATGTCTAATTAAAAGTTGCAGCTAGTATAGGTGGAGCTAATTTTTAAATCTTATATGCTTATAACATGGAGATTAATGGATGGCTTGGGAATTTCCAACCAGGTATCAGTAAAGTCTTATGATTATATTGTATTTTGTTTGGTTATTCAGATCTGGAAAAGTGAGCAGTACGTAAAGTCAAATAAATGTAGGGGAGTAAAAAGTACAGCATTTGCCTGTAGTGAAGTCAAAGTGTGAAGTACCAGAAAATGAAAATACTCGAGTACAGATACCTCAAAATTGGACTTAAGAACTGTACTTGAGTAAATGTGCTTACTTTCCACCACTCTTCACAATTACTACAAGTAGATTAGAACTACTGCCGCTGATCTTCTAACAGTCCCTCTGTTCTTGCCTCTTTTCCATTAAGTGTCTTAGTCTCTACTATTTGCTCTCTCTCAGCATTCAATGCTGGAATTCAGCTTGAAAAAGTTTATGCAGTGCATATCTAAGTGAGATCCTAAATCTGGACATAAGAGTAGGAACTTAAAAAAGATGTTGTGGGCTTTCTTTCTTTGTCATTTGAAATTTCATTTCTCTGCTTAATATAAGCACTATTTATCTTTCCTGCTGTTTTTCTTTGTACTTGTATCAGTGTCTTAGGTATGATGGATTAAAAGATACCTTAAAAGATTTTTGATTTATATCATCTGCAGGGAGAGGGGGCAGTTTGGGTTCCTCCTTCAGTAGAAGACACTTCTTTCTGCTTCATTCTACACTCTACTAACTTAATGATACAATTCACTCTACTAACTTAATAATATAGTAATTATGCATTTTTCTGTTTTTTTTTTTTTCAAAATTAAATGTCTAATCTGGATCAGACAAATGTTATGTCTTGGAATGTTAAAGATCTCAATAATCAAGTTAAAAGAAGAAACTAGAATTACTGCTTTGTGGTTGTTTGTCTTTGCCATCCTTTCACATTCATGGGAATGTGAAGGATGTAAGGTCACTGTGGCATTGACCTTGGCCCACCAAAATCTAATCAGTCTATCCTTGAGTGGGCACTCGTACTAAATTTGAAGAAATTCCCTCTTGGTGTTCCTGAAATATTACATCAATGAGAATGGGCCAGATGTACATATGAATGGATGGAGGGATGGACAACTTGAAAACATAATGCCTCCGGACACTGCTATCACTGGCACAGGGACATAAATAAAAAAGCTGGTGGTAGGGGTGGTGGCTGGGTGTGAAGCATTTTGATATCTGACCAGAGTTTGCATCCTATCACAGACCTGCATATCTGCAGATATTCTATATATATAAATGATGGAGCTGGACTTTAACGCATTTTTGTTGTGGATCATCATCCAGGGTTTTGCATGATACCTTATCTTACTTTATGTTTTGTGTGTGTGTTTAGGATGATGAGGTGGTCCTACAGTGCTCAGCTACAATCCATAAGGAGCAACAGAAACTCTGTCTGGCTGCTGAAGGCTTTGGAAACAGACTCTGCTTCCTTGAGTCCATCTCCAACTCCAAGGTACAGATACCAGCTTTTATATTCTCATTTATAACACATGAACAACAGGATGCCAAACCGATGACAAATTAAAATACAAACCCAAATCAAATGAGTGGAGAAACAAACAAATTGACTGCTTCTATAAAATGCATAGCAGGGTACCATAGTACATAATTAATTTTCATACTCATCAAAAAAGTCAGATCAGCCAAACTGAACGCCTATGGAAGATTTTTGAAGCGACATGTTCTTCACCACCATCAATCTGAAGAAAGCAGTTTGTCCTTTCAGCAAAATTAATATACTTGGAGAATTTAGGCCAAAAAGCCCTGAAGCTGTTCTGCAGCTTATAGTCAGCACCTTAAAAACATACTGACTGTGACAGTAGTGCGGTGGGTAGAGCAGTTGTCTCCCAACGAGAAGGCTGAAGGTTCGGGTCTCGGTGCTGGCAGTCCACGTGTTGAAGTGTCCTTGGGCAAGATACTGAGCCCCCCTGTTGCCCCCGATGGTTAGAGCCATTGGTTGAGGTGGCGCCGCAGATGGCTGCCATCAGTTCTGTACTGGAAACAAATTCCTTGTGTGTAACATACTTGGCCAAAAGGTGATTATCCTTAATAAAACGTTATAATCTAATCGTATTTGTTCAGTAATTTGTCATCTATCAGTAGTTCAATATCCATTCTTCTACACAGAATGAATTGACATGAAACAGTGGAATAACATGATGTTCTTTGTAAGCCATATTTGAAGTATGATGATGGGTATGTGTTTCTATGACACAGGCATCTTCTTAGAGCTGAATAGGTATGGTAATCAGGTCAAACTCTTCTTCCATATACCATGTTTACCATTTATTTATTTAAACAGGGACTTGTAATATTTTAATATCAAGGACGTAGGACTCCACGCTTGCGGTGTTTACTAAGCAATTTCGGAGTCGCGATTCCAGGGACTTGTGAGCTCACGGAAGCTCACGTGACAAAATGTGATTTCAGAGCAAAACAAACATGGAGGCAGATTGTTGTCAGCTAGTAGCATTTGTATGTTATTTTGTGTACTGAGGAAAAAAAGAGGAGCAAACAGTGTGGGTGAAGTCATGGCTGAGAAGAGCTGAGTTGAATTAGCCTAGTGGGACAGCTGAAGCTGAGCCTTAGAGAAACTTTGAAGTGTATTTTTACACAAAACAAGGGCTGTGTATTTTGACCCTCATTTCTTAGAGTGTACCTGCTTTGTAGGGGAGGTAATAGTGCGGTGGGTAGAGCAGTTGTCTTTCGACCCAAAGATTGAAGGTTCGAACCTTGGTACCTGCAATCCACGTGTTGAAATACTGAACCCCCGATGATTAGAGCTATCAGTTGAGTTGGTGCTGCAAATGGCTGCCATTGGTTCTGTACTGGAAACAAATTCCTTGTGTGCAACATACTTGGCCAGTAAAGGTGATTATCCATCCCCTGTGGAAACATTCATGGAGAGCTGGAGAAGTTACAGTGGCTAAGACCCCTTCTCTTGGACATGTCAATATTGTTTTAAGATCAACTTGAAAATTTCTGAGCCTATCCTTTAAGAGCCATTCTTTTTATCTTTGTGCCCAAATTACACTGCCTGCTCTAAATCCAGTCCATTAAGCAAGAGAGTTAGCAGCGGTGGCTGAGTGAGGTAGAGTGTGAATAAAGACAGCAGGTGGCATTAGCAAGCATAAAGCAGTGAATCAGAGAAAAACACATTATTTTCTGATTGTTGCTGATTGATTACATTCTCCACACAAATAAATGTGGCCACACTTTACAACTCTGCGGGAAAGGTTTTGTGTGAATGCAGCAGAATAGAAAGGAGGATGTGTACGTTTTGGCTGCATTCACACGAAACCCTTCCCTCACTTTGTGTATGGCTATGCCCAACTATCCCTATTACTCAGTAAGTGTGTTATTATGATTTTAATTAAAAGGTGCAAATCTGATTTTGACAACATCACCACCTCGGAGCAGACAAAACCTCTTGCACCCCTAGTGATCTTTGGTGCCCCCTTGAGGGCACTGGATGTCACTGCCATACCATAACCACAATTCTGTTAAGTGGTGTTACTTACCTCTACCTGTTCCTGCATTTTGTGTACCTCTACATATCACAACTTGCTCCACAGAATACTACCAGGAACCACTGTTTATACTTAAGGTTATGATAATGGGCTCAGATTTTACTGTAGTTCAGTTTCCATTTAGGATTTTAGTCATTTGTGTCTTTATTACTTGTTATCTACACATTTAAGTGCCCTTATGTTATTTTGGCATTCTTGGTTGTGATTTTGACTGCCCTAACTGTGCAGTTACCTTCTAGGGTGAAAAAAGTACAAGCTAACTAACTAAAGTAAAAGCTTACTAATAGAAAATAAAACTCTATTTAATGACTCAAGTAGTATAGCTGTGTTCTAGTTGGGTTGTTTAGAAAATTCAAAAAAGTAACAAAACTAAGTTTTAACCAAACATGCATAAATCAGTAACAGATTATTTCTATTTCACTGCAGCACCCAGTGGTCAAAAGTCTCCAGGGTGCTGCTATAAAAGAACTGAGTGTCCTGTACTGGACGGAGTGTTAAACATGTAAGAGTCAACATCAGTAAATCATCTTAGTTTCATTTATTTGTTTTAGAATGTACCCCCAGATCTGTCCATCTGCACCTTTGTGCTGGAACAATCACTATCTGTACGAGCCCTTCAGGAGATGCTGGCCAGCACTGAAGACAAGGCTGAGGGGGTGAGTATGAAGATACACACACACACACACACACACACACACACACACACACACACCAGGGAAGGGACTGTATAGTAGGCTGATGTCAGATGAGGCCTGAGACACCAGCATGATGACGCACACAGAGATATTGTTTGTGCCAGTAGGTTATGACCCAACGTTTCATGATATAGTTAAGCAACCTCTAGTGACCATAATAATTTAGACAGAAACAAAGGAGACAGATAGGTGATGTAGTGTACAGGGCTGAAACATAATTTTCACACTTTCTCACCACAGTGTGTTGGCAGTGCCCTCACAGGGGTTGGCAGTAGTAGTACAGCATTCTTTTTAAAACTGGAAGCCTGCAGGACCTAGGAAACATTCACATTTATTTCAAGGCTTCATTTACTTCCACTGCTGCAGATTGCTTGATCCTTGAAAATGACCTGTTTTATATGAAATTTCCATATATAATTTTAGTTTTTACTCTCATGATTTTTTGTTTGTTTTACACCTGGCAGATTATCTATTAGCCTTTTACCATTAAAGGTTACTCACTGGACTTGAACTGGTTTGGTGTTAAAAAAAAAGGTGAAAAAATTGACCCCAAACTTCTTAGGAGTAATATAACATTCACCGCTATCAAGCAACATGCTATAGTGCATGTCTGTTCTATACATGAGCTCACACACACTTTTTGGGAGCTATGCCTGATGCACATTTAGTAGAAAAAGGCTGATGTATCTCATCTTGATCAGTCATCTCTGTACATGGTCATGACAGCCTGGGGCAGACAGAAGTTAACCTTGAATGGGGGCAGGACACTCTTGGGCTGCACCACGGACAATCAGATGCAGGCTGAGCTGGCAAAGCAGCCCAAGATTGAATAAAAAACCAAACCAATTCTGATTTTTTTCATCTACTTTTTGCTTTTTATCAGACATTTTGTAGACAGAAAACTAAAAGAACAAGTGAAAACAATTATTTTATCATGGTCTGACAATTTTTGAATTTTTAATTCAATTTTCTAATTTTCTATTTTTCACTTCCCAAATAGTAAATTGAATTGAGAAGCACTACACAGACCTATTTGTAATAAAATACAAGGAGCTCCAAAGTGTTCATAATACAAAAAATTAAATAAGGTTTTATGAAATAGCTTATTTAAATAAATACAGACAATTTTATGACTATAGAATTGTAAAATAATCAAACATTTTTATAATTCAGCTCATTATTATGAAATTGCTCTTTTTGTTTTAATAATCTGTATCTTATTATGAGTCCCTGGTAGGCTAGTGGTTAAGGCGCAGCGCTCTCGCTGCTGCAGCCCGCGTTCGAGTCAGGGTTGCATCAGGAAGGGCATCTGGCGTAAAACACGTGCCAAATGTCAGCATGCGAGTCGTCAGTGTGACGATTCGCTGTGGCAACCTCAACGGGAAAAAGCCAAAAGTGACTTTCAATCTGTATATTATTATACAGTCAAAATGCCATTTTCCCAGAGTTGGCTTTTATCTTACAATGCAGTTTTCCTCAGTGTGCTGTTTCATAATGTATAATTCATAATGTAGTTTTTCAGCAGCAATGACTATGTCCGTCAATCAAGCCAAAGTGGGCAACAGCACATTCAGCATTGATTTAGGGCTGGTCTGGAGGTGCAGAGGATACTCCAGTACATTAGGTGATAGCATGGACCTCCAAATATAAAGCAACAACAAAAACAAAAGAAACAAGCTTATAGATGGAATGGCGTTGTTCCGTTTTGACTGGTGATGGATGAAGTGTAACACTCTAAACAAAGCAGGTAATTGAGAAACCCCATATTTTCACTGACATAATGCAGACATAGTATCTTTTTCAACCTTACAACAATTCTTTATAACGTTACAGAAACAAGAGCATTAATATTCTTGTTCTTGATTTCTCTAAGGTGCCATGTTTTGTCTTGTTTTTAGGTGCCTTTGATTTGCTTCTTGGAGGTTCCTGTGGTGTTTTGTTGTTCTTGTGGTGTTTCGTTGTCTGCTCTCTAATGCTGCTGGAACACTGGAATTTCCCATTGTGGGATCAATAAAGTCTTACCCTACCCTACCCATTAACAGACACGCAACATGTGTGTTTAAACCTTCCGTTAAATCCCACCGAGTAATGGAAACATCACTCCCTTTCAATTAGCGCCAAGGTCGGTAAATCCAACTGGTGGTCACTGCATCTTCCCCCACATGACCACATACAGTCCCAAAATAGTGAAATTAACTCAAACAGGTAGCGTAGCACCGACAATAACATCATGGATCATTAATCTGCTCATTAACCAGCAAAACATCACATGCAGCAGACACACTGGCCTCAAGCAGTCAAAACAAACAGGTACTGTGCTCTGAGGGAATCCAGCATTGATGAGCTGATTATTCACTGCTGTGGGGGGCTTCACTGGCTGGCTGCTTGTAGGTTAGACCTGGTCAGCTAAAACAGAGAGTCCCTGTACAGGAACATTCCTGGACATGCAGTAACCTCAGGCCCTGTATTTTTCTCCACATCCTCTGGTCACAGTGCAGCAGCAGGAGGGAAAATACCATATATCCACAAAACCGGACGCAGTCGAAAAACAATGGCACCTTGGATGCCAGGCAAGCTCACATGAATGTGCAAGTGCCTGGAGACTATGACCATAACTATTATGTAACACTTAATTTTGTTAGAAAAAAGTCTTGCCAGCGAGAGTTTGCAAGACATGTATAAACCAAGTTACTTCTGCATAGAAGTATTAGAACATACGCTCACCTCATTTTTGAACTTCAGGTCATTTTTAAATTGATATCTCTCCATTGTAACATTGTAGATAAGTCGGATAACAAGAAAAAACATGCCATGAGCTCTTTAGTGAACTCAAACGGTATTATGGTCTCTCGTAATAAAACGCACCAGTGCACAAACATTTGCACCCAAAGAAAATTGCATAAAAACTGTTTGAAACTACCCCAGCTTTGCACTGAGAAGAAAATGGAGCCCTCATTCAGAACTAAAGGAGCAGATTTAATACTACAGGTAGACATAAGAGGTTTTTCCATTATATTATACCAAAACTTGTCAAGCTGAGTTCATTACAGGTTCTGCATTTGCTCCCACTGCTGCTTTGAAGGTGCATTCCAGGAGCTAAATTTTGGCACCTGTCAGGAAGTAGTACTACAGTCAAGTACCAGGAATGGAAGGGGGAAGGGGCTGGGTGCATGCTGAGCAGTTGCTCTTTGCACATCAATCGTTAGCACTGCAAGTACGGTGTGTAAGGCACTTATACTAGTTTAGAGGTACAACCCCAAATCAGAAAAAGTCGGGACAGTATGTAAAATCTAAATTGAAACTGAATATAGTGATTTGTAAATCATCTGTGTCCTGTATTACGGTCCGTGTCAACCCGGGAGGTTATGCCAGGCGACGTGCAGGGTATACTGCTCATTAGGTTGTAGTAGTAGAAACTCAACTATTTAATAACAACAATTATTTGGTTCATAGTTAGCAGTCCTGAGTGTTTTTTTTTCTATTAAACCACCTTGAACTTTCCAGTGAACCTAATAAACCTATAAATCTATATCAGATGTACAGTACACAGATGTTGTCATTAAATAAAGGTCAGTGATTTATATCTTTACATTACTTATGCAAGGTTATTTGAGTAATCAGTGAAATGCAGCTGTTTGGGAAGCAGAGAGATGTGAGCTGTGGTTGGGAAGTTAGCCTGTGAATGAAGAGTTTTTGATTAGATGCACCACTCTAAACACAGTGTTACAGTGCACCCAAACAGGTTTAATTAGTCATGGAAGCCCAAAGCATAATCATGATTATTATTTCATTAGACAGGCATGGATGATGGCAATTATACCAGCAACTAGGGTTGTTAATATACAGTATTAGTGATATATTGATTTTCATAGAACACCTTTTAAATAAATACAGTATTGAAATTGATGCACTGAATGAGTGACTGGAATCTAAAACAATGCTGTTTAGCTTACTTAGCTTTTCAAATTATTGTATGTTAAACTTATAGCCTAGTGTTTTTGTTACATGGTTCAGCTGGCCTCTCCCTCTCTTGTCATGTCTGTACCTGTTTTGTAGGTATTTCTGTGTCTCACGTGTATTGATATTTCTGTTGTTTCTCACTCTGTTTCTATCCGCATAACTTTCTCTGATTTGTAACTCTACCCTTTTGTTCTCTGTCTCTTACATTATGTCAATACCTCTCTCTCTCTCTCAGATGGCCCAGGGTGGTGGTCATCGCACTTTACTGTATGGACATGCTGTCCTGCTGAGACACTCCTACAGTGGAATGGTTAGTTACACACACACATTTGTTTTAATTTCTTTCATTTATGTTGTGTGCCCAAGTGTAATTATCACCGTCCGTCTTATTATTAAAGGACCATTCTGACATTTCAGGAAATGTATATACTGTATAAAGTAGGCAAGTCAAAATGTATTTGCATAGCTTAATAGTACAAAGTGTCCTCAAGGGGCTGTACAGTCTATACACCCTCTGTTCTTTGACCCTTGAGTTAAATAAGGAATAACCTTTTAAGGGAGAAAATGGAAGAAACCTCAGGAAATGGATCAGAGGATTCATCCATCTTCAAGGATGGACAGACATAATAGATATTGTGTCTGGAGAATAATTCACAGTATTAAATACATCACATAGGTGGAGAGCTTGGTGTAAGAAAGCAGTCTGTTAGTTGATGCCCCGGTGTTGATGGATATTCTATTTGATGTGAAACATTGATTGAGCTTGATATATTCTGTTTCTGTATTTAGTACTTGTGCTGTCTGTCAACGTCCCGCTCATCCACAGACAAACTGGCTTTTGATGTGGGACTGCAGGAAGATATCACAGGTAGGGGTCAAACTGGTTTCTCTAACTGTGCAGCATGGTGAACATAGTGAAGAATTTAGCAACTAGGAGCTAGGTAGAGCTAAAGGAGAGAGAATGTTGGACTTGGATTCATCAAATGGACACTAGAACCACTCATCATGTTTCTCTGTGTCTGCCGGACGTGGAAATGAGCAACTGATTCCTCAGTATATTGTAGTGTTCTGCTCCTAGGAGATGAAAAACTCACTAATGCTGCTTTAGCTTGTAGTGCAGATCCTAAAGTTTACAAAATATGATACATATTAGAGGAATATACTGTAATAAATGTGGAAAATTTATTCACAAGGCCTAGAATATTACTTAAGTGGGAAAAGGGAAAATTCAATGTAACATTAGGTTAAGCAGTACAATCACCAAGAAATTTATTATTATTCCAAGTAAGCAGAGAAAGCTTTATTATATCGAGACAATTTGTTTTAATGAACAAACGTCTTGACTTGTCATTTCAGAATGGGGCCCAGGCTACATTAAGATGATTAGTTCTGAGTTAGCTTCATCTTGGTCCACTTTGGTATTTGAACTCGAGCCATAATTACAGTATCTCTACCTTATTTATGGAATAGAACTCTAGACTTCTGTTTTCAATGTTCAGGTTCATTCTGTCCATGTCAGATACAGCCTGACACTGACTCCAGACTCGATGTGTTTCCGCAGTGTTTTTCATTTTAGAACAAGCTCAAAAAAGTATAGCATTTTCTCTGTTCTTGTTGTCCTGCTTCTATAAATATGATGCAGATTACAGTACAAGCAAAACAGGATACTAGGAAAGGTGCACACAGGCTGTGGTGATGTACTGCAGTACAGTAGTTTATGTTGCTGTGTCAGTTTGAGTCATGGAAACATTGCTGTTCCATGAGCTTTTTCTTTCTCTGTGTGTCTCTTTGTGTGTAGGCGAGGCGTGCTGGTGGACCATCCATCCAGCATCAAAGCAGCGTTCAGAGGGAGAGAAGGTTAGAGTGGGAGATGATCTCATTCTGGTCAGCGTCTCCTCTGAGAGATATCTGGTCAGTAGCAGTTGTGTGTGGGAACGTGTGAAGAAAGGGGGGCTATCTTACTATCACTTTCACTTTGTTACTTTTTGTTTCCTTCATTGCTTTTGTCCCTCTAATTTTTTTCACTTAATCATTACATTGTTTGTTTCTCTTTACCATATCCTTTCTTTGCTCCTCAGTGCTCATTCATTCTTAGTAATACTGTCTTACCATGGACAAAACATGTAGGAAAGGTAGGTGCAATACCAAGCCTTGCTCAGAGCACCAAAATAAATGTAGATGACTATTCAGATCTGATAAAAATTTATCTCAAATGATTAGCCACAAATTTTGGAATTTTAATTATTTAAAATTTAAATAAATTGAAAATCTAGTAACATTAGTGTTTACTAGACACTATGTAAACACTGGGGCATATTTACTAAACCTGTTGCAAATTACTGTCAGGTGTGGAATATATTCCGGCACCACAATTTTTTTATTTAGCAAGTATTTGCCAACACATGGTTTAAATGAGCACAGACACAGCTCTGTTAATTTGAATACACCTCCACTTTGGATCTGCTCCCTGAAGACTTTTGCACACATGTGAACCTAGAGGAAGTGTAGCAGAAAGTCTAAGTTTACAGCAACTGAACTTTAATATGGTTGAAGAAATCAACAAACACATTTTGAAACTTCAGTAGTGTAGTGTCTGGCCAGTCAAACCATCTTTTATTTTGTTAATTTGAAGCATGTTTGAACTGAAAGCCTGTAAAAGTCCCTCACATTCTTCTCTGGTGAGTGATGCGATTTACCCTCTCCCTCCTCAAACAAGCTGTTAATTCCAAAGAAACCTCTGATGAATAACATGTGCCATGCTGCTTTCTGTTGACGATAAATTTACGCCCCAGTTCCCTCTGTCACAGCGGTAGTAAATTAGGTGCTGGTAGTATTTCTATAAATACCCTTTTTTTTTCCTCCTGGATTTTTTTGTCCATGAATGGGAACAAAATACATATTGTATGAGACTCAACACAAATTCTGTCGGTGTCACATTTCCTCTGTTTCTCCAAACCCCACTGCGATTCCCTAGTAAATATGAACAAATGCAATTTCCTTGTTTAGTGCCAGAAAATGAGCCGCAAAACCTTAGTAAATATCCCCCATAGTGTTTACAGATAGTTATAATTATATTGTACCTCAATATATATCATCATTAGAATAGCAATGTAATCTAGGTAGGCTAACTGGAGTAATTGTACGGGAGAAGCTGACTTCAGACAATATTAGAGCAGAAACCACAAAAACTACCTCTCATTAAAATAGAGTATGTTTTTCTATACACTAAAGCACAAACCATACAACCAAGACTAATTAAGTATAACAAACACAGGGCACAAATGAATAAGTCTTTGTTATATTGGTAAGGATATGTACAGGCGTGTGTGTGTGTGTCACTGGAAGAACAACATAACACTAGGCCCAGGTGCAATCCATACTGGTGTGCTCTCGGAACCATAATTCAGTTCCTATAAAAGGGCAACTAATCACTTGTACAAAAAACAGACTGCCAGCCATCTTCGTACTTATAGTCTCACTAATCATTTAGAAAATAGCACACACTCACACAAGCACAAATGAACATAAAAAACAAAAGGCTATGGACACTGTGGCAGATGCAACATGGAGCTAAATCAATAGTTATGGTATATTACACCTGCTAACTGTATGAGCAATATAAACACCAAAACACGTGCTGTCCAACAACTATAGGCTAGTTCCGAACAGGGGAGTATGCACATTTTTAGCACTGCCTAATGCAAACACACATAAAACTGTGTTGCTACATTGTTACTTGCAATTAACCCATCTTCCTTAGTATAGCCCCCCCTGAATCTGTCAGAAAATAGCACAATACTCACACAAAGAGAATAACCAACAATAACTGGAAAGGCTGTGTCACACCGTCATGGACAGGAACAGACAGTCAGCAGCAGAGTAAAGGCTGGCGCAGAGCTTGTACATTTTTTAACATCAACTAAGATAATGTAAACACACAAAACTGTACTGGTACATTGCAACTTGCAACTCACCAACAGCTAGAAAATAATGACTGTAACACAATGGCATGATTCTCCTTATCTATAGTTCCCCTTTGTGGTGGTGTCCTACAGGGTTTAATAATCAGCTATCTCCCTTTTCAGTTTACATGATCCCATAAGATCATACACATATTAGACATATTATTAATTTCCATTTTTGTTCAAATATTTGTCCATCTAACCATCCATCCATTTTCTTACACGAGATTGGGTCTTGATAGCAGCACGTTCAGCAAGGCAGCCCAGATGTCCTTCTCCCCGTCAACATTTTCCAGCTCCTCTGGTGGGATCTCGAGGCGTTGCCAGGCCAAATGAGATATACACTCTCTCCAGTGTGTTCTGGGTCTGCCCCAGGGTGTCCTACCAGTTGGACATGCCCAGAAAACCTCCAAAAGCAGGCACCCTGGAGGCGTCCTGATGAGATGCCTTAACAACATCAACTGGTTCCTTTCCATAAGAAGGAGCAGTAGTTCTATTTCGAGCCCCCTCATGGATGTCTTAGTTCTGCACCCTATCTATAAGGGTAAGTCTGACCACCCCACGAAGGAAACACGTTTCGGCCACTTGTATTGGCATTCTTATTATTTTGCTCACTACCCACAGCTCGTGACCATAGGTGAGGGTCGGCGCATAGACTGACTGGTAAATTGAGAGCTTTGCTATTCAGCTCAGCTCCTTCTTCACCACTACGGACTTGTACAATGTTCGCATTACTGCTGATGCTACCCCTATCCGCCTGTCAATCTCAAACTCAATTTTACCCTCACTCACGAAAAAGACCCTGTGATACTTCAACTCCTTCACTTGGGGCAGCAACTCACTCCCAGCCCAGAGGGAGAAGTCCACCATTTTCCAGCAAAGCACCATGGCCTCAGACTTGGAGGTGCTAACTCTCATCCTCACCGCTTCACACTCGGCTGAAAACCACCCCAGTGCGTGCTGGAGGTCATGGTCTGATGAAGTCAGCAAAACCACATCATCAGCAAAGATCACAGATGTAATTCTGAGGTCTCCAAACTGGACCCTTTCCTCCGCCCGGCTGTGCCTTGAGATCCTATCCATGAAAATCACAAACAGGATCAGTGACAAGGGACAACCCTGATGGAGACCAACACTAACTGGGAATGTGTCTGAGTTCTTGCCGAGTATGTGTACTGTTAGGTATTTTTAGTCAGATAGAAACTGGATAGGTACTTTATGTATTAGAAATGTTTAGTGGAGATAGGGTGTCTAGTTAGACTGTTAAATGTTTAGGCCTGCTTATGAGTTTCTACAGGGTACATCTGGTCAAGGATAACTAGAGAGAAGAGTTGATGACTGTTAACAGACAGGGTGTTTAATATTATTATTACGACGTGTATAACTGTAGCCTTAGCCATAATATGTTCTTATGTTTAAGTCACGACATGTACTAGAGGTCGTGAGAATGTTTTTAGTTACACACCACTTAACCAACAGACATACACACATTGATTTGCTTCATGTTTTGACTACTGCTATGACCAGCTGTAAAGCTGGCAACAGAGACGTCCCGGTTGACGTTTCTGTGTAGTATGGGGCTAGCCCAACCGAGGGGATATAATGTATAGGCCTGGTGGGTTCAGGGTCTTTCATCTTACATCTGCCTGCGTGCATGTTGGAGGTGCAAGATATCTGAGCGTGTAATGTTAATTTTACCTGTGATCCTTTGAATAAATCAGCACTGTTTTGAAGTTACTTGGACTGTCTCGTCTCTCAGAGTTAGCAATGGTAAGAAGAACCAAAATAGTTCTACAACAGTACACAACGCTCACTCTGGTTATACAAGGAATGGTTGAATATTTGTACATACGACAATTGTTTTTAAAAGTAAGTTTTTTAAGTAACAATACATTAAACATTTAAAACAAAGTCTCATTCTGGAGATTTACATTTACTTTTCTTCATTTCATAAATCAATATGTCATTTTCTCAGGGGCCAAACGTTTGCATACAGCATTATTGCAACATTTAGCTGCATTTCTTTAAAGGGCCCTTCACATCTTTATGACTCTATCTCTCTGTTCCATCCTTTCTTTTTCCTGTCTGTCCATCTTTTGATGACCTGATGCATGTGGAGAATTGGGCTCTCAATGGCCATATTCGGTGTGCCTTTCTAAATTGCTAAAAACAGGACTCCAATTCCGGAACATGTTCAGTGTTTGTGTGTAGTGTTCAGTCTGGTGTGTCAGTAAATTGTTTATAAAATTGGCTTCCATGTTTCTCTTTCTGCAGCATCTGTCCTATGGTAATGGTAGTCTCCATGTAGATGCAGCCTTTCAGCAGACTCTCTGGAGTGTGGCTCCCATATGTTCTGGTAGTGAAGTAGCACAAGGTACACTTGTGTGTGTTTCTATCTTCTCTTACCATATGCTTGTATTGTGCTTTTTGATCTCTTAATGTTTTGCGTTTACATATTGTTCTAAAAATGTCTCCTAAATTTGTACAAATGTGTGAAGTTCGGTTGAAATATCTGGGGACATGGGTTGCACCAGGCTAGCCAAGATAGCATGGGTACTATTTCTGGTGCTTTTTAGTAAACCTGGCTGTCCCTTTCTCAGGAGTGTAATTCATGTGTTGAGCCCCACTGTCCTTTATATCTGCCCTTCCCTTTCTAGTTTCCTTCCTCTGTGCTGTTCTCCCCCTCCTCAGACTCTTGTTCTTTCATTAATTTTCTCTCTTAGCTCTTTCTGTTTTTTCTCTAATGACATTTACACCTTTCTTCCCTTCTGCTTTCTGTCTGCAGGTTTCCTGATTGGAGGGGATGTCCTGCGTCTCCTTCACGGTCACATGGACGAGTGTCTGACTGTTCCATCTGGAGAACATGGAAATGAGCAGAGGAGGTAATGTGTACTGATAATCACAAACTGGACTGATTTATGAGCTCAGGGCTGTCATTTTGTTGTTGGTGTTAACAGAGTGATGTAATATTGTAATAAATGTTCAACGGCAAAAAATTACCAGCATGGTAAATACACTTAAGCAATTAAGTATAACAACTATGAGCAGAGTATCTGTGCTGCCTCACACTGAGCTCCGCCTTCAAAAGAGCAGGCTCATTGAGACACGACTGGTTGAAATGTTGTGCTGAGAAAACATCCTTACATTCAGTGGCACTCACTTTTTATTTGTAATTTCATTGCAGCAAGATTTGAGAATTGACTTTCACTTGTTTTTCTGATGAGGGGTTAAAATAATGCCCAGGACCAGGGCTCCACGCTGCAGGCTGGTAACACCATACCAACACCATGAATTATGTGGCACTTAAGTGTATGCAAGGTGCGAACTACAATGGAAAATGAAATGTAGTGTGCTACAATATGACATATAACTTAATTATTATTATTATTATTAATAGCACTTCATTTATTCAATAATGCATTGCATCATGGCCTGAGAAGTAGGCTATAACTGAGGGGTGATTTAAAAAAAAAAACCCAGTGGTAAGTTACACATCCAACAATCAAATACATCCCCTTCAAAACTGATCTGCATTTGCAGTTAGTCACATAGGAATGCAGTTTTTGGGAGAGAGGTTTGGCTCATTTGTCCAAAGGAACATGCCCAAAATATTAAACTATCATCACAATCCACACAAAATATAATTATGGTTTAAAGCGAAGCCTGACCACAGGGCTTTTTCTTTGCTTCTAAGTTGGCATTTGTATAGTAGCTATTGTTTGTGTATGCACTGGGTGCTGTACTTGTGAGTGTAGGCTGAGCGCCCCCTACAGGCATTATACTGTAACACATGCCATGCTGCAGGACAAATGATGAACAGTAGCGGTGAAAGTGGCCACTTATTGCGGCAAAGAGTGACACTTTGAATGCCTATATCTGTACATGTGGTTCAGAGCAAAGTAGTCAGTCGGTGAGGACGCCGGCGTTCCATCTGTGCATTGTAGCTGTGTTTCCACTGTCAGCACTTAAAGAGCAGTACACACTTCACTTAACCGTCACCCGGCATAACCTCATGGGTTAATGTGGACTGTCCTACTTTTGCATAATTGTCTTGAGGATATTTTGTGTTATAAATGTGCATCTACAATGTAATCAGCAACCAAAGTTATTAAATAGCAGTGGAGAATACTCAAGTCAAGTACAAAAGCCTCAGATATGTACTTAAGTACATTGTTATTGTTTTATTTTGACTCCCAGGTCAGTGCACTATGAGGGGGGAGCTGTGTCTAGTCATGCCAGGTCCCTCTGGAGGCTGGAGACATTGCGGGTTATGTAAGTACAGGATACAGTACACACACTACACACTGTACCGGTTTCCAGGTTGATAACCAGTAGCTGTCAAGTTGACTGAAGGGTTGAAGTATTTTACAATTTAATTGTAAATTTCAAGTGATAATGCTCTTTTGTAATTGCACTCCCTGTTTCCATGCTTGTTCATCAAGAAATTATTCCCATATGCAACCACGATACGTATCATACATTTCTTAGCCATTTCTTGCAAGTGAAGACTTGCTGCTGCTACTTTTAGCTAATTTCCTGATCCAGATCACCTGTTAATAATGCCAGGCGTGAATGGAGTCATTGATTGTACATTTCTGTTTGAGGCTTGCCAGTAACTTTGCTGGCTATTAGAACGATCCTGGAGAGTTTATTCCCGAACATACAAATTCAGGTGACCATACCAAGCAGAAATACAGTATGAAAAGTTAAACCAGCGAGGTACTTTCAATTTCACTGGTTCTATTATGGTTCCATATATACATAGCTTTTTGCTTTTGCTTTAGCCAGAGTGGAGAATAGGTGGTATAACACCACTGCAATTATGTCATAATTAATCAAAAAAATCAACTTAAATTGGCTTGATTATTCAGCTTCAAAATAATTCCAGTGCTATCTCTATCATATACATTATGGCAATTCTTACAGTAAACAAATACAATAAAGATAGCAATCTGTATTTTTATGTACATTCTGTAAGGATCGCTTGACACAATAATGAGCGAGCAGTAAGAACAGACCCAGGCGGCTGGCTTCGGTGCAATAGGTGGATTTATTAACAATGGTGAAACAGGGGTGCAACACAATATACAACAAACAAGAGTAAATGACTGAAATGAATATCATCGGGTGACGACCAGCATTTGTGAAGGAGTTTTGTCCATGAAGTGATGAGGTTGGGCTGCGAGGAAAAGCGACACTCCTGAGCTGGTCAAGGTGGTGATCCGGTTGACTGTGGAGTGGCAGAGAGACGAATTAATGAGGAGACTGTGCATCGACCTGTGGAAGAGGTAGGCGGAGCTGGGGGAGTCCCGGTCCAAAGGAGAGGTCCAGGCTAAGTGACAGGAGACGCTAGAATTGTAAGAAACAAGACGTGGAACACGGGAGACAAAAGATGTAATCCGAACATAGAAATGAAGGCTAACAACTAGAAAGAACCAGCAAGGGAGTGAAGGTAAAGCCGAGTATAAATAGGGAGTGACAAAGGAGGCGCAGCTGAAGAGTGTCAGAAAATCAGGACAGGTGTGTTAATCAAGAGAGTCAGTGAGAAGGAGCAGACTAGAGCGAGAAAGAGAGAAGAGAGGAAGGTGCAGCCGGGCAACCCTAACACATTCTTGTGTTCCCGTACAACGTACAACCCTTGGGGAACAACTTTTCTTTATTCAGTTGTGTTCGTGAACATAGCCAAAGCTCATTACTCTCACCGAACTGTTGTACCCCGTACTTTTTACCATACTGACTCTGAGAGACGAGGCAGTCCAAGTAACTACAAAACAGTGCTGATTTATTCCATGAACACAGGTAAAAGTTAACATTACACGCGTCCCGGTTGACGTTTCTGTGTAGTATGGGGCTAGCCCAACCGAGGTGATAAAATGTATAGGGCTGGTGGGCTCAGGGTCTTTCATCTTACATCTGCCTGCGTGCATGTTGGAGGTGCAAGACACTTGAGCGTGTAATGTTAACTTTACCTGTGATCCTTTGAATAAATCAGCACTGTTTTGAAGTTACTTGGACTGCCTCATCTCTCAGAGTTAGCATGGTAAGACGGACCATACCCTACACAGTAATAACAGTAAACATCAAACTTCAGCTCCACGGTGTGGAAACAGTGATAGGAAAGGCATGGTGCACAGTGATGGTCTTGTTTGGTGGCGACAAAATTTGATATGTTCAAACATTTAACTTCTGCAGCACCTGTAGATAAGTTTCAAGTCAAAGCAAAGACATTTATCGACAGAAGTGTTGCTTAAATAGAGTTTTCATAGGGCATGGGAGAATTTATCTTAATTTATGAATAGAAATATTCTAGTACTGTTGTTATCTTAAATTTGTGCTACAAATGGAAAAATATTTTATTATTTGCTTAAGGTAGGCCATTATTACATGCACATTTTAAGTTTCACAAAGAAGAATCTTATTGTTGAAATCTCAGCAATGAATTGCTTTTCACACATGGCAATTCTTACTGTAGTTTGCATGTCAGATTGTCGTGACACAGTGTGTCGATTGCCAGATCGAACTGCTAGTAAAGATGAATTGAGGCTTGCTTTCAAAGAGAGCAGCAGCAAATATAACAGAACCACTAAACAAGCTTGTACAGAAGGGACAGATTACATGGTCCAGTAGTAATCTCAGTGGTTGCAGTGAATGTGCTGCTGAAGTCAGGCAGCCTATAAAGCCTATAAAAGATAACAGCATGGACACTCAGCAAACAGCGCCAGGTAGATCAGTGAGTTTTAACTGTGCAGCAGAGGGATTTTAGTTTGGGCTGTTGTGAAAGAGTAAAGCCTGTGAGGTTCTGAATAAGCACAGTAACTGTCAAGCTGAAACCAAAAGGCTAACTTTGACAAACAGTTTCCATAGAGCAGGATCATCCAAAACAATAAACTAGAAGGCATCTTTCGGTTTGGTTTACAGTCTGTTGTTTAGACTTCGGACCAAGGAACAGCATGCCAAAACAAGGACAGTATGTTGGGGAGGCGGGTCCCTCTCATGTCTGAAGAAACTTATTGTTATCTGCGATGGCAGATGAGCTGTCGAACCATCAACAACTAGCATGACTAATGGACGATATGAGGCCAGTGATTTACTGCAGAATTTAATAGATTTTGAGGGATGGGATCTGGAACTGAACACAATTGGAGACAGTGAAATGCACTATCATGAAACGGACGAAGGCATTGACCCTGAAGAAAACTTTTTCAAGAACCTTGAAAATAACTGCAAATATTACACGGATGAGCAGTTTAACAGCAATGTCAAGACGGAAAACAAGCTATCATTAATTCACTTTAATAGCAGAAGTTTATACGCGAACTTTCAGAGCATAAAACATTATCTTAGCAGTCTAAAACATTCTTTTAATATAATTGCTATTACTGAAACTTGGATCAACACTGTAAGGGGAATGGATTTTGACCTTGAAGGCTATGACTTGGTATGCACAAACAGAGAGAATAAGA